GAGAGAAACTCGAGGATTGGTTCAGCTCGACGTAGGGCAAGTCGGGTGAACCCTTTCAGCTCGCCGTGTGGCGATCCGGATGGTAGGAACCCTTGGGGCAAAGTCAACGTCTCTCGGGCGAGGTGGAAAGCCGGTCAGCTCGCCAAGATGGCAAGCTAAGTTGCTTGGCCAACTCACCGTCTTTTCGGCTGGATAGTATTGCCCGATTCTGCGAGTAGCCTAAGGTTCTTCCGCGAACAACCTAGGGTTTTGTCGCGAATAACCTAGGGTTTTTCCGTGAGTGACCTAGGGCTTTCTCCGCGAGTAAAGCTAGGGTTTTGTCGCGGATAACCTACGGTTTTTCCGCGAGTTACCTAATGATTTTTTCGCGAACAGCCGCGAGTATCCCAGGGTTTATTTCGCGAGTAACTTACGGTTTGTTCCGCGAAAAACCTAGGGTGCTTTCCGCGAGTAACCTAGGGTTTTTCCGCGAACAACCTAGGGTTTTGTCGCGAATAACCTAGGGTTTTTCCGCGAACAAACTAGGGTTTTTTCCGCGAGTTACCTAAGGATTTATTTCGCGAACAGCCGCGAGTATCCTAGGGTTTATTTCGCGAGTAACTTACGGTTTGTTCCACGAAAAACCTAGGGTGCTTTCCGCGAGTAACCTAGGGTTTTTCCGCGAACAAACTAGGGTTTTTTCCGCGAGTTACCTAAGGATTTATTTCGCGAGTAACTTACGGTTTGTTCACGGTTTCTGGGAGAGCAAGTTGTATTTTTCCAAAAAGTTCTCGGAAAACGTCTTTTGCTCAACCCGTGAGATATGTCAAAATCGGAAATAAGAAAAACACTATGGGTATGATAGATTTTATCGTTGCCCTTAGCGATCTGAGATAGAAATCGTGAGCTCGTTTTGTTGCTCTTCCCGTGGCGAAGAGTCGCGATTAGGTTTTCGAATTCGTTGAGTACTAAAGCGTTTGCGTGAGCGTTGGCTCTAGGAGCAGTCGCTGCTTGATTTGTTTTACCAGCGTCTTTGCGAATTGCGACCTTGTCTTTCATACATACAGACATCGTTTTGGTCAAGCGTTTTGCGGCTATGAGTAAGAGTAATCCGACCCCCCCTCCTTCTTGCGCCAAACTGTGGGAACCGAAATTCACACTTGTCGATTTCCGTTAAATAAGGAAACTTAGGAAAACCCTAATTTTCCAGAGGAACCGGATCTCTACGAAAGCCAACGACAAGTAACCAAATAAATGCGGAAAATATGAAAAACATAATAAAACGAATTTATAAAGAAAGTCGATCTTATTTCCGATTCGCGTAAGAGTGTTGCGATCATTACAAGGAATTACAAAGGCTTTGGCCGCAGAGGCCATCAGCGAGTTACAAACATGAAACCCTAGATCTAGTTGAGTCGCAGCTCGATAACGAAAAACGGAAAAAGATAGGAAAAAAGGTTTGAATGATTTCGAACTGAACCTTACGAAAGGCTGCCTACGTACCCCTTTCGGGGATCAAGTCGAACGTAGTTCAGTTGATAGAGCTGGCCAAGAGATCGAACTGCCTGAGCGGGTTCGTCTAGTAATTGAGCGCCAGTCATAGAAACCGAACTTGTCGAGAAAAAGCCTAAGTTTCTAAGTGCGGAAAATTCTAAATTTAGAAAAGTTGTGAAAGTCTCAGATGAGAGCTCTGGATTTCGTCCCTCAGCTTCTGCCCTATGCCTCCTCCTTATATACTCCTCCTCAGGCGGTTTTAGTCTTTCCATTTTGCTCGAAACCGAATATTTCGGGAACTTTCCATATCTGTCGATCCTTCCTTTTCTTCTGCGGAAATCTTCTATTTATCTTCAAACTTGCCTTTTATCTTCCGTCTGCGAGTAAACCGTCAAAGCGTTATCGTATCTTGGGTTTGATTTCGTTAACGTCGCGAGATGGTTTTGTATCGTGTTTTAGGACCTTCCGGGCCGTTTTACGATAAAAACCGTTTTACGACTTTAACGAGACTGTTTCCTGATCCGATGCCGTTTTTTTACGATTCTCTCGATGTTTTTTATTTAAAACGAGTTTTTTATGATTTTAACGAGAAATCTCGAATAAATCGTATAGTTTAGGCAATGTTCGGTGTTTCGTTTAACCGTTGCCGTTTTATACGATTTCCTCGAGTTCTTTCCGAGAAAGCGAAGTTTTACGGTTTTTATCGTAAAACTTGAATGATAGGTCGGATCGAGACGGAACGGGAGACGTNTCGAGTTCTTTCCGAGAAAGCGAAGTTTTACGGTTTTTATCGTAAAACTTGAATGATAGGTCGGATCGAGACGGAACGGGAGACGTTTCGGCCGTGGTTCAGAATGCGACCGTGTCGAAAGACGTAAGTTTTGAATCGGGGATGCGGGAGATCGAGGCTCGGGATGGTCGGCTCGACGTACGGCGAGCTAGTTCAGCTTTGCTAGGTCGCCATATGGCTATGGTTCATGGAAAATGTAAAGAAATTATAATTTGTTTAATTTATATATTTTACCTCTTTTCTGAAACTAATATGAATGCGATCAAACAAACGACTAATGTATAGCGTATTTAACAGATATCTCTGTTTCATGTTTAATTTATTTTTAAAAACTTGCAATGGACGACCCATGAGGAAACACATCACCATTAAGGGAGTAAATCAGTTCACCGTCTATAGCAGTAACTAATATGCTGCAGTTTAAATTACGAAGCTTAGAAAATTTTACAAACAACACCCATTGTGGTGTGAAATACAGTGTGAAGGCACATACCTATGCTGTGTTCCACTTGAGGAGCCAGTACCGGCTGTGACAACCACCATGGTATATGTGAGATGAATAGATATGATTTGAATGAGATTTATCAAAAATGTTGCAGATGTGGCAGTACAATTAAGGGCATTACTTATCATATAAACTCACTTGCTAAAACCTCCTTGTCAAAATAGAAGTGTATTTCAGAATTTTCATTTAAGAAAAGAAACCTGCACAAGATACTTGTAGATGTGAGATGCCATTTGAAGAATCAAACATTTATATTCAGATTGTTAGCAAGAAACGTGTTAACCTCCTAATTTGGGGTTGATGCTTGTGGTGATCATGAACTTAGGCTGCATAACACCATCTTCCAATTTCCTATGAAGGAGACCTGCTAGACTGTCGAACACACCAAAGAAAACGGTCATGTGTCTGCGTAGTTGAGGAGCGGTTTGATTGGCAAGGATTCATACTTGTGATTAGGCCTAGGCATTCGAATATTCGGTTCGGTTTCGAGTAGGAACCATTCGGTTACAGGTATATCAAATAAACTATTCATATACCCAATAGGCACTTATGAGAATTTGTTTTGGTTCGGTCCCAGTTCGGTTCCGAATACCCGTTTAATATGTGAATCACACATACACACACACACACATATATATATATACAAAATATATTAATAAATATATAAATTTAATTGATCTATTGTTTACACGCTTACATATTCGTTAATCCAACAAGATTTCGAGTCAATAAAGTGTTAATTTTACAAATATTTATTGTATTTTAAAATAGAAATACCATATATATCTATAAAATAAGAGAGTAGATAAATGATAACATGATCTAGTGGTAACAATGTTCTCACTCTTCATGTCCAACCTGGATTCAAGTTGGTTTGATGTCAGTTTACCTTATATTAAAAAAAATAAACTTATTTTTTCGGATATTCGGGTATCCGTTCGGCTTTTGGTACGATGCCAGTTTGGTTTTTCGGACATAGATATACATGAACCATTTGGATATTAATTTGAGGATTTTGATCTTGTTTCGGTTTCGGGATTTTGGTTGGGTTCCAGTTCGATTTTGCGGTCCTGATTTTTTTTCCCAGGGGTACTTGTGATAAAGAGGGAGGGAGTGATAGGTACCATAAAGCTTATGTTCGCAAGAAAAAGAACAGAGGAGGAAAATAGAGTAATGCTGAGATGGTGAATGATGTGGCATGATATGTTGGAACTTCTCATTTGAATGAGTAAAGCAAACTTTTGGGACGAGAGAGAATCTTTGCCGTTAGACTCTGATTATGGTTGTTAAAGATCTCGTTTAAATAATCTTGTAGTTTGTTCATTGAGTTTTATGCTTTGATCTTGTTTGTATTAGACATCATGAGTCTGTACTTCACACTCGTTATGAGACTGGCGATTCGTTCTTAGTTTGTCATGAGAGCGGAGTTTGTTTTGCAATCAAAGCTATAAACCTTTCATTGATTCAATAAAGAAATACCAGTGTTTTGAGAGTTACAAGGATCTAATATCTATCAGTGGTGCGGTGAAAAGTTTGAAGCAACGCGATGATGTCAACGAGTTCTTCGCCAGCTCCAATAACTCAATTCGAAGATGATTATGAAGACCAATGTGAGAGTTCATGCGGATTTGAATTTTGTAATCTGAGGATATACGAGGGTTACAAAAGCTAACGATGAGAAGACGAAGGAGATTAAGGTGATTAACAATCGTTTATCGTCGATTAAATCTTCGATGAAGACGATGAACTCTGATTTCGTTCGTTCATGATGATAATCGAGAAACAACCAACAGAAGAGATTGAGACTCGTATGGTTCGTTTTTCACAACCAGGATCATCTCAAGCACAAGATCAGGTACGAAATCCAAATTTGGAACAACACGAAGATCAACCGTTAGGTAATCGATCTGAGAATCTGAATATTACGAATCGTGACAGTATGTTGAAAAAATTGAGATGCCTTATTTTAATGAGAATCATGCTTATGAGTGGTTTATTGATGTGGAGACTTAATTCTTTTTGGAGATGTATGGAATCGAGAAATGTTGGATGTATTACCGATATGTTTTGAAAGTTATTAAAATTATAGAAATCCTCGTGTACGTGAGCACACTGGAACATAACCCGGACATACTGCGATAAACTAAACCGGATTTAATAATTGGCATTCGGTCCGGTTCCAAACGATTTATCGAAATATTGGATGATTTGATAGGCAGTATCCGATCCCTGGGTATTTGTTCTGGTTGTTGTTTGCTGGATTTGTTCAGGGGAAATTGATTACGAATTGAATGATCGGTTCTTGTTTGATTTAATGTTGTTGTTTAGATCGGCTGCTGTATGGAGACTCTATGCTCCGGATTTGATTCTAGTTTTCGGGCTGTGTGAGATTTGAATTGAGCTGCTACTTGTCGTCTTCGTTGTGGAAGAGATGGATTTGGTTGCTAGTTGCAAGGTACTGGTTCGAGATGTTTGCATATTGCTGAATCATTTGAAAATGCTTGAGCAGAGCTTGTGTTTTAGTAGTGATCGTTAGGCCTGAAGATTGATTAGAAACTGATGCTTTAAGAAGCTTTACTATACTATAGTAATATGACTTAGTTCTTTGTTTATTGATGATGCCATGGTGATTTGATGATGATGATGATGGGAGCAGATAACTGTATTGTTGATTCCACTGATGGTTATTGTATTGGCGTAGTCTGGTTGGCATGACATGCTCAGATTAAGATCCAGTGTTTGGCTGCCTGTGTGTTTTTTTTTCTTTGTTTTCGTCAATCTTAGAGTCTGTTTAGATGCCTTTGCAGGGAGAACATGGTGCATGGCTTTTGCAGTCAATGTTTTGTTTTCATCTTTGTTTATATCTGATATATGTTTTCAGGAGAAACTTGCGTATTTCCGGATAAAAGAGCTCAAGGATGTGCTCACTAAGCTGGGACTTTCTAAACAGGGAAAGAAGCAGGTATAAACTTTGCTGCCAATCTTGCAATAGAGTTGTGGCTGATTTATCATCTATCTTTAGGCTGATTTGTTTGGCATTTGGCTTGTCCAGGACCTTGTTGAGAGGATCTTGGCTATTCTTTCCGATGACAAAGGTAATCTGGGCGCCCTTTGTTTATTTGTTCATGCCTAACTGTGATCGAGATAAAATTTAGTGCTGGCGCACATCTTCTGATAAACACTTGTCTCCACTACTTACTGTTTACTGACAGCCCCCAGGTTGTGGTCTAAAAAGGAGGCTGTGGCAAGGGAAAAAGTTGCAAAACTAGTGAACGATGCATACAAGTGAGTGCTTGCTTTAACCTTGGATCTCTTATTGCATGTCATGTCTTCTCCTGTGCACAGTGATATGCTTTTCGTTCCACTGTTGTGTTTCCACAGGAGAATGCAAGTATCTGGGGCAAGTGGCTCGCCATCAAAAGGACAAGTAAGTTCAGACATCAGTAATGTGAAAGCTAAGGGAGAGCTCGAAGATTCCTTTCAACCAGATGTTAAAGTACGGTGTATTTGTGGAAGCTCACTGGAGACAGAGTCAATGATACAGGTAAGTCTGTGACACAGCTTTTTATCGAACTCTTGGTTGAGGTAGCAGTAGCTCTTGGTGTTTTATGGCTCAGTAAATTTGGGTGATACCGTCTGGACTCGGTTATGGTTTGTAATTTTCAGTGCGAGGATCCGAGATGCCATGTCTGGGAGCATGTTGGGTGCGTTATTATCCCGGAGAAGCCTATGGGAGGAAATTTACCGCTTCCTGATTCATTTTACTGTGAAATATGCAGACTTACCCGAGCTGACCCGTAAGATGCTCCCAAACTTTCCCTTACTCCTGATTGTTTATTTTTATATCGCTTTAATACATACAATTCCTTCCAGCTTGCTAGATTTTACACCAGATTGCTAGATTTCCTCATTTTATCTTTGTTCATATATGTCCACCACCGAAGAATGCTTACTTTGTTGCAAAATTGGAATGTGATCTTTGGGTTAACCAGATTATGATCTATTACTTTATTTGTGTCCGTCTTACATTGTCTTTAATGTGCAGATTTTGGCTCACGGTGGCACATCCATTGTTTCCAGTGAGATTGACTGCGACGAACATCCCAACTGATGGGTAAGTATACCCTTATAATCCATGCTTGTTATTTAAATTAATGTACTTCCACCGACTCTTAAAAATACAATTAGTAGCACTTCTTAGATGGAAAGCTGAGGAACTTCTGCTATGTGTCATATATTTTTTTCCTGTTTAGGAATCAAACGTTGAATTTCAACTGAGGGATGTGATGAACCCTAGTTACTTAGCTTTTGAGATGAACTTATCTTCATCCTAATATTTAGATAAAATAATCATAGCTGTCTCCCAGACAGATCCACAACCCCTGCTTAAACTTTATAATTGATGTTTGTTGTTTCTCTTAATACTCTGCAAATATTTCAGTACAAACCCAATGCAGAGTGTGGACAGGACATTTCAAATAACTAGGACAGACAAGGACTTATTGGTGAAACAGGAGTACGATGTTCAGGTTATTGGGTTTACTAGTAGGTTAGATATTTAACTTTATATATGCGTATTCTTCTAATTGGCACTGCACTCTACTCTGTCTAGGCGTGGTGTATGCTTATGAATGACAAAGTTCTGTTTAGGATGCAATGGCCTCAATACGCTGATCTGCAAGTCAATGGTATGCAAGTTAAATTTACAGCTTAGGCTTGATAGTAAACTAATTGTTTTTATCAGCATCTCCTTAGTAAAATGAGTAACATGTGTTTCAAACGCATAATCATACATGTACATTAATCACTGGGATAAGTTTTCCTTAAAAATCTATTAAATTTCCTGGTTATTGTAGAACTCAATATATTTGTTCTTTGCTAGCTGATATGGGTTCATGTTTAAGTCGTTACCATCTTTTAGGTGTACCTTTTCGTGCTATCAACCGACCGGGGTCACAACTTCTTGGGACCAATGGCCGTGATGATGGACCTATTGTACGTTTTTCATCCCGATCAGCAACATTTCCTTAATTTTTAAATATGACTATGCTTTCTCAAAGATTCGACTCTTGATATTCGTAATCTAGTATGCTCACACCGTATTTTTTTTGGCAGATTACACCTTGTATTAGGGATGGAATTAACAAGATATCCTTGAGTGGATGTGACTCTCGCAGTTTTTGTTTGGGTGTAAGACTTGTGAAGCGAAGGAATCTGCAACAGGTACTTATATTACTGCATGACCAAATGAAAAAAAATAATTAATTAGTTTAAAAATAAAGCGGTTACATAATTCAAAAATAGCATCGTGTGAGTAGAACTCAGAGACTTGGCTTCCAAAGGAACTTGTTAGAGTTTTATTTCCATTACAAAAATCTATTGTTTTTCAACAACATTAGCTATTTGTGCTTGTCCTTCAAAAATCTTATTTTTCCTTTAGGTCCTAAATATGATACCAGAGGAGGCTAAAGGCGAGCCTTTCGAAGTTGCTCTTGCGCGAGTGCGTAGGTGCATTGGAGGTGCAGCTGGAAATGACAATGCTGACAGTGATAGTGATATTGAGGTCGTTGCTGATTTCTTTGGTGTTAATCTTCGGTGTCCAGTAAGTAATTTGTAGCTCATTTTGAATAGGCTGTTGTAATCACTTAGATTGTTGTTTATCTTATTAAGTCGTTTCTGATTGTGTCATTAGATGAGCGGTTCTAGGATGAAAGTTGCTGGGAGATTCAAACCCTGTCTACACATGGGATGTTTTGACCTTGAGGTGTTTGTGGAGCTGAATCAACGTTCCAGAAAGGCAGGTATTTTATCATAGTCTACATAATTAGGTTGTTCCTATTGCTTACTGATTTAGTCTGTTATTTGGTTTGAAACTGCAGTGGCAGTGTCCTATTTGTTTGAAGAATTACTCTTTGGAGCATATAATCGCGGACCCTTATTTTAACAGAATCACATCAAAGGTACATTTTCGCTGATATTAGAATTCTTGATTTTCATATTATTAAATTAATCTAGCAAATTTATAAAGACGTCTTCCTGCTTGGCAGATGAGACATCTTGATGAAGAGTTGACTGAGATTGAAATGAAACCTGATGGTTCTTGGCGTGGGAAGTTCAAAAATGAGAGTGAGCGCAGGGATTTAGGGGTACTCTCACAATGGCACAAACCTGATGGTAGCCTCTTCCCCATGGTTGATGAGATTAAACCCAAGATGGAAATGCAAACACCAATTAAACAAGAAGGTTGCTCAGATGGTCCAACGCCTTTGAAACTTGGAATAAGAAAGAATCGCAATGGCGTTTGGGAAGTCAGCAAACCTAATAATAATGGTTTATCTTCTAGTGATCGGCAAGAAAAGCTTGGGTACGAGGAGTTAAATGTCATACCAATGAGCAGTAGTGCCACTGGAAGTGGTAAAGATGGTGATGACCCTAGTGTAAATCAGGATGCTGTAGGAAGCTTTGATTTTGGAAACAACGGGATGGAACTTGACTCTCTCTCCATGAATGTAGATTCAGGCTATAAATTTCCTTACAGTAATCATCAACCAGCAGCAGCTAGTAATAATGACGTAATAGTTCTAAGTGATTCCGACGAAGAGGATGATGTTGTAATCACCGCAGGACCTGCATACAATGATAATCAGGCTGATGGCGGGGTAAATATCCCATTGCACCCAGTTGGTATCACTAACTCGTATAATGAAGACCATCAGGTAGTTGCTGCAGGCAATTCCGGCTTGGGTCTTTTCACAAGCGATGATGATGATTATGATATGCGCCTTTGGCAGTTGTCTTCAGATGCCCAAGGAGGCCCGGGTTTCCAACTATTTGGATCTAATGCTGATGTATCAACGGATTTAGTCGGTTTACAGCCTGGTCCACTTAACTGTGAACCTGCAATAAATAGTGGTTACTCGATGGCTCCAGGTACGTCTACTCCTATGGTTCCAGGGTCGGTTGGACGATCCGAAGCAGATGCAAACGATGGACTATTCGATAATCCTATGGCATTTAGTAGAGACGACCCATCGCTTCAGATATTTCTGCCAACAAGACCAGAGACATCAGCTCAGTCGGATATCAGAAATCAGGCTGAGATGTCAAACGGAGTCCACAGTGATGATTGGATCTCTCTTAGACTTGGTGATCATGGTGAGACAATAGGTGCAAATAGGCTTAACGAAAGCAACCCAGTGTCAACGAGAGAAGGTGGTCTGGATACTTTGTCAGAGACTGGTTCGTTCCCTGACAGAAACTGATGCCGAATTTGTTCTGTTGTATTAACAGGAAATATATTGTATTAACGACTATATTTGTTACTGACTGTATAAATTGCTTACTTGCAGCATCGTTGCTTCTGGGGATGAATGACGATAAACAAGAGAAGGAAAGTAGACAAAGATCAGAGAGTCCGTTTTCATTTCCTCGCCAGAAGCGTTCAGTAAGACCTCGGATGTTTCTGTCGATTGACTCAGACTCAGAATGATGTGATTTTTCTGTTTGGATGAGAGTTACCACTGTATCTATAGCCTCCTCGACTTGTTTTTTTTTTTGGCGGTATGTTTGGTGTTCCTTTTGATTCTTTTTACATACGCATATGCACAGAACAATGAAATGGATGATGACAGCCAGAGTCTGGGAATCTTTGCTTGATTCGCTTCTCTGTCCTTGGAACCTTGAGGCTTTCATGCAAGGTAATCTGATTTCTTGACATCTCCAAACCTACTGAAATAATAAACTTTCTCCGAATCTGAAGTTTCAGTGTGGTTGCAGGTGGTTGTTATTTGGAAAGGAGGAGACAGGTTTACATAAGTTAGTGAAAATTTTGAAGGAGGCTTGTGATGTGGGTATATGTATTTTAGAAAGGGTTTCTCGTTGTTCTTGTTGGGTGGGTTGACAGTTACTCGAAAAGCTGTTCTAAAATGATATGGGCCAAAATGAGAAACAGTATATGTAAATGTATGGCTCCAAAATTATATTTTGTTTGTTTAATATAAGGAAAAAAACTTTCAGCAGACTCATTTTGGAAAAGGCAAGATCATATAATATTTATGGGTATGAAACTAATTTTGGCAGTGTTCCAACTTGGACAAGTTTACTTAGCTCTGTAGACAGTGAGAGAGAAAACAAGTCACAAGGAATGGGAGTAACAAAGGGGATCACGGAACCTTATGGACGATGACTCATTGCTCATATCTCTCTATATTTCCATCCTTATCGCCATTTCTTCTCAATTATTTTAATAATTTCACTTGTTCTAATAAAAAAGAGTAAAGCCGTTTGGTGAAAAGAAAGAAAGGATTTGTGAGATTCAATTTTACAAACTTTTACGTTGGAAAAAATCGAAAAGATGCAGAGGGTATTTGCCGTGAGATCGGTTATTGGTTACGCGCGGAGGAGGCAGCACTTGTCTTCTCTCTCTTCTTCTCTCCTCTTCGACGAAACTCAGCTTCAGGTTCTCTTTTTCTCTCTCTCCAGAAATTGATTGCGTTTGGTGGAATAAAGCTTTTTTTTTTTAAATTCCGTGCGATTATTTACTGTGATTGTTGTGCTTTGTCTTTGTTGTGTCCTGAATGTGTAACATTGCTAACTGCAGTTTAAAGAAAGCGTGTCCAAGTTTGCGCAAGATGTTATCGCTCCTCATGCTGAAAGAATCGATAAAACAAATTCATTTCCAAAGGTCTCTCTCTCTCTCTTCTTTCTTACCATTTTCATCTCCCTAAATCTAAATCTAAATCTAATCTTTTTTGTTTAGGATGTAAACTTATGGAAGCTTATGGGTGAGTTCAATCTCCATGGAATCACTGCACCAGGTAACATGTCTCTCCGAGCTCAATCATGTTTTTGTTTTTGTTTTTGTTATTGTTTTTATCAGTCATCTCAAAGTCTTCATCCTATGGGATTGGTGGCTTTTACGTGCAGAGGAATACGGAGGTCTAGGTCTTGGTTACTTATATCATTGTATAGCAATGGAGGAAATCAGTCGGGCCTCGGGCTCAGTTGCTCTCTCTTACGGTGCTCATTCCAACCTTTGCATCAATCAATTGGTATGTATGTACACATATACTTTTCAATATCTGAGGTTTTATTAAGTCAAGGGAGAAGAAACATTTATTACTACTTTACAGGTGAGGAATGGAAATTCAACGCAAAAGCACAAGTATTTGCCAAAGGTACACTTTCATCTTAGCTTTTCTCTTGATTAAGACTGGATATTTGTGACTTTGAATAGTTTTATATTTGTTCATTTAGCTAGCTAACTAATGCTCTTTTGTTGTTATGAAGCTTATCAGTGGAGAGCATGTTGGTGCTCTTGCGATGAGTGAACCCAATGGTAAGATACACATCCTTTGGATGAAGAGTTATAGGGTGTGACAAAACCCATACCTACTTTAAGTAAACGCTTTATCCTTATTTTGGTTACAGCCGGTTCGGATGTTGTCAGCATGAAATGCAAGGCTGATAAAGTAGATGATGGCTATATTATTAATGGCAACAAGATGTGGTGCACTAATGGTCCCTCTGCTCAAACACTGGTATTTTTAACTTCTGGAATTGATTTCTTTTTTTGTTTTATGTCATACAAACTTTCTGATATCTAGTTAACATTTTCTTTCTATCTTTGGTTCAATTAGATTGTGTACGCCAAAACTGATACCAAAGCAGGCTCTAAAGGAATCACAGCTTTCGTTATAGAGAAGGGAATGGCTGGGTATGTTTTTTTTACTTGCTCAGTTTCATTTGATATAGTTTGAAACTGCCTTTTGATGATCTTTCTTAGAGAAAGCAGCTGAGAGAGTTCTTCTTTATATCTATTTCTGCGGTTTCGCAGATTCAGTACTGCACAGAAATTGGACAAACTTGGAATGCGGGGAAGCGACACGTACCTCCTCTTTTCTCCCGATCTCCCTTCGTTTAAATGCATAGTTCTTTTTCTTTGCATCTTTTTTTTTGCTGTTATATATGTGTCTCTTCTGAGCAGGTGCGAACTTGTTTTTGAGAATTGCTTTGTTCCAGAAGAAAACATTCTTGGCAAGGAAGGAAAAGGTTTTGATTGCTACAACTTCATTGTTTTACTCTGGTTTCCCTAGGTTGATTGATAAGTTGCCTTTTATTGTCTATTTTTTTACTAGTAATAGGATGATCTACTATCTGATATCTAGTATCATAAAAGAAGAAAATACATGAATACATAACACGCTTTGAACTATTTTTAAGTCGATTCTACAAAGCCCACTCTCTATGCTTTGTGTCTTGATTGTACATAGTGTTTTGTACGTGCAGGAGTGTATGTTCTGATGTCAGGTCTTGATTTGGAGAGACTAGTTTTAGCAGCTGGGCCCTTAGGGATCATGCAGGCATGCCTCGACATTGTACTTCCCTATATTCGACAGAGAGAACAGTTTGGCCGTCCAGTTGGGGAGTTCCAGTTTATACAGGTTGATCTTCATCATCCTTCACATAAACGTTTATGTGAATATCTACAAGTTTAATCTTAAGATTCTTAAAATAGTTATGTTTAATAATTTCAGGGTAAAGTTGCTGACATGTACACTGCATTACAGTCATCAAGGTAGTTGACTTGTATCAAAACTCTGGAATTCATTTTTTTTCCGTACAGCCAAATATTTAGCTTCCGCATTTTAGGTCATACGTCTACTCCGTTGCGAGGGAGTGTGACAATGGAAAAGTTGACCCAAAGGTGAACTAATAATGAATGATTCTTCTCGTCTAAAAGAAAAAAAAAATGCTCAGTATGTATTCTAATAACCTACTTATGTGTTATTTCTTCTAGGATTGTGCCGGAACTATTCTTTGTGCAGCAGAAAGAGCAACACAGGTTGCTTTACAGGTCAAGCACTCTTACTCTCCTGCTTTCTTTTAAACTATCATCCATGTTTACTTCGTGAACGTTGAGTATCTGTTTACCTTTCCTGCAAGACTTTTAAGAAATTTTGTTTGATGTTGCAGGCGATACAATGTCTAGGAGGTAATGGATACATCAACGAATATGCAACGGGACGCCTTTTGAGAGATGCAAAGCTATATGAAATCGGTGCTGGTACTAGCGAGATCAGAAGGATGGTCATCGGTCGCGAGCTTTTCAAGGAACCATAGAGATAACCAAGTTTCTTTTCATCTTTGCCAACGATGTTAACAACGCCGGTATTTGTCATTTTGTACAATAGTACAAGTATGTATAATGTACAATGTCCTCAGTAGCCTCTCAATAAGAAAGATGGCTTCAAACATTTCTTTCCAGATACCATATCATATCATTTCGCTTTTTACTCCCTAATCAATAATATTACACATCCACTAATATTTTACAAGAGATCAATACAAAGCAAACAGAAAGGTGATAGGAATTGAAGGAAAGTGAGGAAGATATCGTTGGTAGTGAAATGACTTTAGGTATTAGCTCTCGCTAAAATTGATTTCACTGTTATTACTGTCACTGTTGTTGTTTTTGTTGGAGCCGGGTTTCAGCGTAGGTAGACGTAATAAAAGCACAATCAAATAACGTCAGAGTCCAAGACGGAACAATAACCCACAAAGGTCAAGTTTACTTCAGAAAAGTCTCGCTAACCAAACTCGGTTAGCCAACACGAAATATACAGAAATCAAAGGCATTAAAACCTGAAACCCTAATTCGAAGACCCTATATTAGGCCTGGACGTTTTTACCCCAATCCGAAGTACCGACCTAAACCCAAACCGAGAAAACCGAACCCGTATCCAAACCATTATATAAAACTAACCGAACGGGACTTATAAGCCTAGTACTTCGGACTTTGGATATAACCCAAACCGAACCAAAATCTGAAGTAGGATCCGAAGGTATCCGAAATTAGTTAAATATGTTAATATTTTTATATATGTTAAGGTAATTTAGATAATTTATAATATTCTAAATATTTTCATAGTCTATGTTATATGTTATTTTGAATATATATTTGCTAGTTTAACTAATTTTTAATTATACTTGTGAATAATTTACATATTTTGAATACTATTTTGTCAAATTTTTAGGTTAAAAAAATATTTTTGGACGATTTCAGACATTGGTTATAATCCGATCCAAACCGAACCCGGAAGGAACCGAACCGAACCCGATCCGATTATTAGCAAAAACCGAATGGTACTTATGAGCACAGTATTGAAAATCCGAAAATCCGAATCAACCGAACCGAAACCTATTGGGCCACCGAACGCCCAGGCCACCCTATATAGCACTCATATCCTAACTAATTCTCGCATCTCACCTCGATTATCTTGCTCAATTTGAACCTGAAACCCTAATTCGAAGACCCTATAAATGTCTTCTACCTCTTCATCTCTCTTTCATCACAGAGCTAAAGTAATCGATCAAAGGTACTCATCTTTAGAGTACTCGATACTTATTTGAAACTTTTTAGAAGTTTGATATTTTTTTTACTTTTGGGTTACGGATTCTAATAATATTTTTCTTTTTATGGTTTAAATTTCATGTTTTTGAATTCTTTTTCAGTTTGTGTGAACTAGTAATGTTAGGTTCTTTTTGAATGACTTCCTGTCATGATTCATTTTAGATAGCCGATTGTGTTTGAATGTAAGAGAAAGACATTACTTTTCCTAAAGTTATTGTTCTATAAAGCCAAAGGTCTTTTAATTTCTTGATACGTTTTAGTACACAACCAAATGTGTTTGAACGTTTTAATTTCTTAAAGTTATTGTTCTATATGTGTTTGGTGCATTTTGATATCAAGGATTCTAACGAGTATTCGCTTCTCTTACATAGATGGTTTCATCATCCTCAAAACTTCCACAAGCCGATGAAGAAAGTATGGACGTTGAAATGCAATACGATGAAGATGCAAATGCAACATTAAGAGTCTCTTCTCAGTCTAAGAAGGTGAATAAAACCGCTGTGCCTAGGTCCGGTGTCTGGAAACATTACACCAGAATCAAAGACAGCCGTGACAAGTGCATTTGTCACTACTGTCAGAAGGTCTTCTCCTGTGCTACGAAGTCAGGAACATCAAACCTACAAAAGCATCTGACCATCTGCAAATCGTATCAGACATGGGTTACAAGTCAGGAAAAGAATCAAACCGTGATTAATACTGAAGGAAATCTGAACTCATCAAAAGTCTCAGAGACAGTTTTTAGAGAAGCTTCTAATGAGTTGATTGTGTTAGCAGAATTGCCTCTTTCGTTCATTGAAAGCATGGCTTGGAAACACTTCAGCAGAAAGGTAATTAATTTTCTAAACCATGTCCCTTTTAATCTTCTGTGTATATGTAATTTTACTGACATGTTTCCTCTCTTCACTTGCAAGGTTAACCTTTACAAGCCTCATTCGAGAAGGTCTGCAACCAGAGACTTGTTGAAATGTATGTGGCGAAGAAGGAAGCTTTGAAAAACATGCTCCGCACAACCAATCAAAGAGTGTCACTCACAACTGACATATGGGTTTCTCACATTACAGGTATCATACACGTTTCGCAAGTTAGTTTTAGAATATAAACTTTATATGGATTTTGCAAGTTTTTTTTATATTGGTTTTGCAAGTTAGTTTATAATATAAACTTTATATTGGTTCTGCCATTTTTTTTATATTGGTTTCGCAAGTTCTTTTGTAATATAAACTTTACATTGGTTTCAAATAAGTTAGTGATACATTGATGCTTACACATTTTCTTGGTTACATGTTTAACAGGTGCTAGTTATATGGTGATAACTGCCCATTTTATTGATGATTCATGGCAGTTGAGGAAGCTAATCATTGGTTTCAAATACGTGATGGACCATAAAGACCAGACCATATCAACTGTCCTCTTAGAGTGTCTCGCTGACTGGGGTATTCAGAAGGTATTTTTCACTACAGTAGATAATGCTACTGCTAATACGTCAGCCATTGGGAGATTTGATAGGGAATTTCGTAATGTTGCTCCTGATACTTTAGTTTTAGATGGTAGTTTTCTACACATGCGGTGCTCTGCTCATATCATCAATTTGATTGCTAAGGAGGGTTTGGCTGAGGTTGGGGATAATGTGTTAGCGATTAGGAATGCTGTTCAGTACGTGCGTTCTTCTACAAGTAGGCTGAATGCATTTGATCTTAGAGTCACCACTGGGAGAATGAGTCGGGGTAGCTTGCCTCTAGATGTTAAGACCAGGTGGAACTCAACCTTCCTCATGCTGTCTAGGGCTCTTCAGTTTAGGGTAGCATTTGACAGGATGGAAGCCGAGGATAGGCTGTATAATGATTATTTCATGGAGACTGACAATGGAGTTAAGAGGTGTGGACCACCTGCTTCGACAGACTGGAGTGCCGTTGATAAGCTGAAGTGTTTTCTGGTTATGTTTTACAACAGCACTCTGATGATCTCAGCCTCATCAAATGTCAATTCCTACAAGTGCTATGGTGAGATAGTAACAATAGAGAGGAATTTGACTGCATTTACTAACAATTTTGATGCTGAGTTGAAGGTGAAAGCATCAGATATGTTACAGAAATTTCTGAAGTATTGGGATGGCACGAAGAATGTCAACAAGATGTTGATATTAGCGACTGTGTTTGATCTTAGAAAGAAGATGCATTTTGCAAAGCTTTGCTTTGAGAAGTTGTATAAGAAGGAGAGCTTAGAGTCTAAAGAAATGCTTCGGTCTGTTGTTGATCTTCTTAAGTGCATGTTCAACGAGTACAACACTCGTTTCAGAGGGTCTGTTGGACAATCCTCTCAGTCGAATCAAGCATCATCTTCTCAGGCAAGTCAAGAGACTCAGGAACAAGGTATGGATTCAATGAAGCTGGTGGTTGAAGATTTTGGTTATGAGAGGATGGATTGTGTCTACAAGGAGATGGTTGCTGAAAAGGGAGAGGATACAAGAGATGAGCTAGAGGTGTAATTGAGAGAACCAGTTGAAAATCCGACGCTCCTGCAGGGTGTTGAGTTCGACATTCTTTCATGGTGGAAGGTTATGTTCTTGCAGAAATGGCTAGAGCTCTACTCGCCATGCATGTCTCCTATGTTACTTCAGACACTACAAGAAATATGGATATTGATAGCAGTTCGGGGTAGCACGAATTCACCAACTGCTACGGAAAATGCCAAAATCGGATCCTAACTCTATCATAGCATTATATTCATGCTATGAAATATTTTCACTAAACGGAGACCCAAAAATGTCTTCTGTAGCTGGATATTTATTTTGGAGCCAAATCACTTAGCCAAATTTTTATTTTGGCGGAAGTGTTTTTTTTGGGCTAAAATCATTTCCAACATTTAGATCCTCCTCGTATCTTCTCCATTGTTTTGCTTCCATCGATCTCCCATCATACTCTATCCTTATCGATCTTCCAAGTCTAGGATTTTCTCAAGAAAAATTTCGCAGCCCTAAATCTATTGCCTTGTCCTAAATCTATTATTGGTCGATCTGTTCTTTCGGAGAGAAAGCTCGCCGGTTCGGGTGAGACTCTCCATCTTGCTCCTCATGTAAACTCTCTCTGCCGCCATCACTTATCACTGTGCTACACCGGTCTTGCCAAACTTTATACCGTCAAATCCTCCTCCCCCCTCGCCGTCGTCACTCCTCACCTCCTCGTCTCGCCGTCAGATCTTCCATAACCTTTGTTGGTTACAGAGAAGCAACAATTCCGGGAGCGTTTCGACTTTGCCAACTCATCCTCTCGGAAGCAATCAAGTTTTGACGAGTTTTGTATATTTGGTGAAGGCTGGAGCTTGTTGTCCGCTCTTCTCAAACTATAACTGCAGATGGGATAGGTAAGCACACATACTCATCAAAGATGATTCCGTTGTAGTCTAGTTGTTGTAGACGGCTTGTTGTCTACTTTCTGTTGTTTTTATTAGTAATGTGAACCAGTTTCTGGTGTTTAATATGTGTGTGTGTGTGTTTCAGTTAGCATTTGACTTTATAACGGCACAGGAATACTGCTGGACAGGAGAGGTTTTGATGTCTGATACCTCTTGAACACCTCCAAGTGGATTGGGGATGTTCGTACAGAGAGAGGTAGCGATGTCATCAGTTCTCTCGTGGGTAACAAAGCAGATCTCGTTGACAAGAGGTAACGAAACACTTGACCTTAATAACATCAAATCCAATGATACGCCTAAAGGAAAAGCAACAAGAATAAAAAGAAACATGAATGAATAATTTACAATGGAAGCTTTTGTCATTTGTTGTGGGTTTTGTGCGTAAGATTGTGTTTTGTAGTTTGGTTATGTGTTGCATGTGTTAGAACTCTTAATTTAAGAAATCTGAGGAAGATATAAGATTAGTAGACCATAGATGTGTTTTTTTTTTTTATCTCATGTTCTTTATGATATTGAGAATGCTAAAGAGATCTTTAGAGACTTTTGGTATTTTTTATGTTATGGTAAAGTTAAAGGAGAGTTTTTTTTTGTTTCAGATATGATCAAGTTATGGAGAAAATTCTCTCTACATATGGAAACAGTGATGCAAAGGGTTGATCATAGAATGAGTGAGAGATTCACGGCTCTACTTGAACCCGCAACATCAACACGTGATCTCAAAGGAGGTAGGTTTAAATTTTCATGTTTCAGCAACTAAATCAATGCTTCAAGTAACATAAGGCCGACGTAGGAGTTCTTCAGGATATATGCGCAGTCCATCCTACTTGCTCCTTCACTTTGGATGAAAATGAGAGTTATAAAACAGAGGAAGCTGTTGAAGTTCTCAAAAAGCTTCATGGTAAAACTGGGTAAAACATATGTTTTTATTAACAATATGTCAATATGGCTGTCAAGTTTCTAAAAAAATTTAGACGTGATGTGCGAAATCATCGACTTGGACTGTTGGACTTGGACAGGGAAAGGAGCACATCATGTTATCAACTAAAGATCTTGTTAATGACTCGAGGAGTAGTAATGAAGATAGCCAAAAAAAGTAGCACTTGAAGTTTTGTTTTTTTTAACTTGACAAGACTTTGTTAGTATAAGACTTTTAAAATGTACTCTTAATTTAAAGAAAAATATATATTTTTTAGTTATAAATCAATTTGCAGTTAACAATCTTAGGATGAAATAACATATATTTTATAAATTTAATGAACTATAATTTTTTATTTATAGGTCAAATTGCAATGTATAGATGATAATCAAAGCTTAGATCTCAAACCCTATTTCTAAACTCCAAACCAATTCCCCAAACCCCAAAATACATCAAACCCTATGTTAATATATTATTAGTACGTAATATGTTACAATTTACATTAAGTAATATGTTTTTGTTTTGATCTACATTTAACACAACAATTTATGTCACAATTTACATTTTGGCAATAATAATTAAAAAAAATCTCATATTCTAAACCCTAAACATACCCTAAACTCCAAGATCCAATAGTTATAATAAAATTTAAAATAAATATTTGTAGAAATTAATAACTAAAACAAAAATATATTACTTTTCAAAATATATAAATTTTCAACATGTTTTCAAACTTTAATTTCATAGCTTATATCAAATCTATAAAGTCCAACACTAACTTCTATAATTGATATATATTTTCAAATCCTAAACTCTAAATCTTAACCTCAACCTACATACAATATTTCAAACCTTATACATTAAAAATCCAAACACTCAAATTCTATATCATACATAAATCTCTAACTTAAAAATTTCAATCATAAAACTAAATTATAAATCACTAATATTTATAAAGGACCTATTTAATTCAAATTTTAGATTTATATATAATTATAGGGTTTAAACCCCTAAACATGAACTTTTAAACTTCAAAATTTTCATAATATAACTTCAATGTTAAACATAAATTCAAAATTTAATCATTTAAAAATTCTAATCTTTAATTTATATTATAAACTTCAAAAACTAAATCTTACTCGAACCCTAAACCCTAAATCCTAAACCACATACCTCTTATTAACATATAAAATATATCATAAAACATCAAATCTTAAAATTTAAACAAATATAAAATGTCAAATTTTACAAAATAAAATTAAACCACTAAATAATAAAAACGGAATACAAAATAAAATAAATATTCTCATTTAAATTTTATTATTTTATTGTTGTAGTCAACCACACAATTTCTAAATTCAAATACTAAATTTATATTTTAAATTTTAAATTATGATAACAGATGATTCAAAGTTTAGATAGTTTTATAAAAGTTATAAGTAAATAGAAAACAATATGTATAGTTTTTCTAGAGCCGTTGATTGATTTTAGATCAAAGGCTAAAGATCATTCTCCTATCTCTATCCTCAACTTCTTATCTTATTGGTTGATTTGTTTAAGGAATGGATCCAAATAAATCAATGGCTCACAACCACTCATTAATCTCATCTAATGGACACAGATAATTACATTAATATTATTATTATTATTATCATTATTATTATTATTATTATTATTAATTATTTTCTTCTTCTTTCTTTTCTCGTCTTCTTCTTCTTCACACAGATCCGATCTTTTACTTTGCTCACATATCTCTTTCTTTACTCACAGAAACACATCAACTCCTCTGCTCACATATCCATTGTTACTCTCTCTTGTCGTTGGAGACGCAGCAACAAGAATCAAAACGTCATCACTTGTCTCCATCACCACCTTGTCTCAGCTGGAATCTCGTCTCCTCTCTCTCTTTTAATTCTGATTTTGTCACTGTTTTTGGTGTAGAGAGTTTGTAGAAAGGATTTGCCATGAAAGTTTGAATCTTTTTATGTTTGTGTTTTGAAATCTGGGTTTCAGGGATAAACAGAAGATGAAGAACATCAGGAGACAGAGAGAAGAGGTGAAGGCAGAGGAATAAGAAGGTGAACAAGGCATAGGAGCTTAAAGGAGGAGGAGGTAAGGCGAAGTCGGAGCTCTGTAGTGATGGAGATGGCGGTTATGACGATCATGAAATGAGGAGTGAGTAGCGGCTTAAAGTTAGGCTTTTGGTGTAGGAATTCATACCGGTTTATAACTATTTATAAATCTATTTATGAATTCACTTTGCCTAGAATCTCATGCCAATACTGAATAATCTAGATCTTTAGGATTATGAATATACCTGGTTATTCGCAGCGGAAAGATAAATAAACCAAGTCGAGATTTCAAGCACTCCAAACGTCGTGCCTCTACTGGTATCCACACGCACACAAACTGGATCGATACGGTATGCTAGTACCGTTGAGACTTCTCTCAAAACTCACGAACACTTCGTATTATATTTAGGTTACGGCCAAGACAAAAACATATACATATCAACATATGTGTTTCGTATATATACATGTAACCTAAATTAATTAGGTTTGTTTTGGGCTGAGCCCATACGTGCTCCTATGATAATAATGACCATCATTATTATTTGAAACTCTTTCATTAATTCACATCACGTATGTGAATATATGTATATATACATATATTATATCACATATAATATTAATATTAACTTA